CTCCTAAGTGCCAGCCTGAGAGACATCATGAGTTCAAAGCCCGCTGGGGACGTAGCAAGTTTAGTAAGTACAGCTATAAAGTAAAGGGCTGGGGAGAAAGCTCAGTGGTTAAGAGCACATGCTGCTCTTGCAAAGGACCGGGGTTCAGTTCCCAGCACCCATATTGAGTGGCTCACAACTTCCGGTACCTCCAGTTCGTGGGGATCTGGTGCCCTCTTCTGGCCACCTTGGGAACCTACAACCATATGGTATACAGAGGCATACACATGAATAAAACAAAATAGATAAATAAATAAACATGCCATGGTGCCTCATGCCTAAATTCCAGACAGTCTCGGAGGCTGTGACAGCCTCTGGCCTCAGTTGCTGCAAGCTGAAGGACATCCTGGGCAGCATAGTAAGATGCTGTCTCCAAAACAACAGTCACAAGGAAAAAAATTAAAGAATGGGGTGGAACTGTAGTTCAGTGGTAGTGCACTTCTCCAGCATGCACGAGGCTCTCGGTTCAATGCCCAGGACTCAACAAGAAAGGAATATACACTAAGAATAAATCGTATTTATTTGATGCACTATAATGCAATGCAAATATAAAATTGCCAATGACCTTAAGAGAGTCTCAAGAAAATGAATCAAGTCCTGACTCAGGCGCCTGCCAGCCACACCAAGTGTTTGACACCTCTTCCCAGTCAGCAAGCAGAAGGTTGGGGGGGGGAATGTATGCAGAGGTTTTGAACTTGCAAGGCAGAGCAAACCATGGGTTCAAATCCCATCTCTGTTATTTGTCAAATGCTATTGGCCTGGGCTGCTTGGACGCTGGAGGCCTTGCATCTACCGAAAGACACCACACCCAGCCTGTGTGAGATCCAAGTCTGTGCGCGCCACACACATAAACACAATAACCAACTCACTGAGGATATTCAATAAATGGACATGAATTCTAGAGTTCAGGAGATGGCTCGATCTATAAAGTATCTGCCTTGCAAGCGTAAGGGCCCAAATTCCATCCCCAGAACCCACGTGAATGAAGCAGGGCATGGTGGTCGTGCACCTGTAACCCCAATGGTGCTGAGGTAGCGACTCCAGCATGCTCTCTAGTCAGTCTAGCCTAAATGGCAAGTGCCTTTCTCAACAAGAAGATGGGTGGCACCTGAGGAAAGACACCCAAGATGGTTGTTTGCACACTTGCACACACATGCCCGCCCACATATATGAAGTAAACAAACTTGGGTTTTTAAAGGGGAGAGTCAGTATGAATTGGGCATAAGCAATATCCTTGAAGTTCTCTGTCTTTAAGTCTCTTCCCAAGTTGACTCTTTTATCCCCCGTTTTAGATAGGGAAACTGAGGCCCAGGGAAATTGAGTGCTAGGTTCAGCCACAAAAGACATTCTGTTTTTGCTCTACCATACAATTTCTGTTCTCTGGAGATGTCCAGATTCACTGCAAAACCATCTTCCACCCTGTACTAAGTTGGACTTACAGGCTTCAGTTCAGTTCGGTTTCCAAGTTACTATGGCCTCAGAATGTTCTAGAAGGTCTCCTCAGCTTATCACACATCGTGCTAACTTTGGCATGCCCGGCTTGCAGCTGATACAGCCCAACGCAAAACTGTAAAGTTAGTTAAAGCATTGTATTGTTTGGGCGTGTGATTAAAAAAAAAAAAATAAAAGCACAGTTGTCTACCGTGAACTTTATAGAGGACAGCATTGTTTCACAATGTCAAAAGGTTGGACATGCCTGTCTGGATTCCCGGGCCCTTCTTAGCTCTCCCTTCCTCATGCTTTGAAGGATTCGGAGATCAAAGTGGAAGGGACCCTGCTGGGATTTGCTCGTCACCTTTCTCATCTGTGTGACCGAATCCTCACAAGACGCAGTCAAAGGAGGGAAGATTTATTTGGTCTCATAGTTTAATACATTCCATCAGCAGGGTGGGGGTTGGGATGGAGGCGGCTCTTCACTGCCTGTGTGAAGACCTTGCTTAGGTAGGCCAGGATCAGGAAACAGAGGGCCCATGACAGGAAGTGTGGCTGTGTGTAACCCTCAATTTCCACCCCCCACCCCCACTCCACCTCCACCCCTGTAGTGACTCAGTCCCATCTCCGGAAGCGTCCCCACACAGCGCCACCAGCAGGGGGCCACGTGTTCACACACATCAGCCTGCAGGAGACATTTCATAGCCACACCTTAACCAGGCGAATAAAAAAGCCTGTCACCTGTCACCTGTCACCTTGCTTCCTGAGTATCCTTCAAAAAGAAAGGTTTCCGTGAACGCCACCAACCCTTGGGCCAGCCACAGAATTTTCTGTTGCTGAACCTTTCCACAAACCCTCAGAATGGAGTCTGACAGGACAATCTCTACAAAGGCACAGGCCTAGAATACATTAGCAGGTCCTCAACAAGCCATGAGCACATTTCCATTCCGTTTCTTGTTGCTGGTTCGTTGTTTGTTTAGATAGGGTCTCGTGTATTCCCGGCTGGGCTGGAACCTGCTTTGTAGCCGAGGATGACCTTGAACGTCTGATCTGCCTATCTCCACCTCCTGGGTACACCACCACCCTTACTTAATGCTGCAAGGCTGGGGATGGAACCCAGGGTCTCGGGCGTGCTAAGAAAGCACCTCACCAACTGAGGTACACCCCCACCCCCACCCCCACCCTATCCTTTTCTTCTTGAACTCCATCTCCTTTGCCCTCTCCAAGAGTTGGCATTTTTTTTTCTTCTGTGTGCCAACTCCCAGAAGCAGCCCGTCTCCACACCAAGCAAAATCTCCTCCCCCTGCTAAGAACTTAAAACCCAGAGTTCATCAGTAAGTGGAGAATCGAACCACAAAAAATACTCTTAAATCACCCAAGGGAAGCACAAGCCTGGTGGATCCAGGAGGATTAAAGATAACAAGATGAGACTTAGGAAAGTCTGGCCAAAAAAAAAAAAAAAAGAATCTCGGCAAATTGGAGAGGGAGCCAGAACGGTGGTTGGGGGGGGGGGGGGGGCACAGGCTCACTGTGAATCTGGCTTGACAGTAATTTTCAGAGTCCTTGTCAAACCCTGGGGCCCTTCCTCCCAGGGAAAGCTCTTCTTGCCTTTGCAAATGTTGCCCGATTCCTTCTTCGTAGTCTGTTCTTTCTACAGGGTTCGGGGAAGTCCCAACATGGTGGGAGACGCTGGAGTATGACACTGGGCTTCATGTTCTTGAGGGGCCTAACTGGTCCATTCCTCTTTCCAGTCTTCTATCCATTTGCTTCTTTTAAACGTTCTTTATTTGCTTATTTAGTTTACTGTGTTAGTGGTGTGTGTGTGTGTGTGTGTGTGTGTGTGTGTGTGTGTGTGTGTGTGTGTGTGTCTGTCTGTGTCTGTGTCTGTGTTGGGGGGGATGCAGGGTGTCGCTCTTGTGGTGGTCAGAGGCCGGCTCTCGGGCATCAATTTTCACCCTTCCTACCATGTGGGTCTCAAGGAGCAAACTCAGATAGTCAGGTCTGATGGCAAGCTCCCTTACCCATGAGCCATGTTGTCAGCCCTGTTCGTTTGTTTGCGTTTGAATGCTTTATTGTTGTGTTTTGAGACAGAAATCATGCCTCAAACTCGCAATTCTTTGGACTGCCTTCAGGTAGCTGGCGTGACTGGAGTGCACCACCCCACCTGGCTTTGCCAGTCCCCTTGGTGCACATGTGCATGTATGTGTGCGTTGTGTGCATGTGCAAGTCCATGGAGGCCAGAGGTCCGTCTTGGGTATTGTTCCTCAGGATGCCTGATCCGCCTGACTGGTCTGGAACTCACCAAGTATGCTGGGCTTGGCTGGCCAGTGGGCTCAAGGATCTGCCTGTCTCTCCCACTCCAGCTCTGGGACCACAAGTGTTTGCCATCACAATGCGCATTTTTAACGTGGGTGCTGGGGCTCGAACCCAGGTCCTCATACTCGCACAGCTAACACTTTCCTGGTCAAGCCTTATCCCAAGTCCCTAATCTTCTTTAACAGCTGAATTTGAAAGACCATGTTTCCCAACACCTCACGCATAAATCACATACGCACTACACACACACACACACACACACACACACACACACACACACACACCCCCTCTGGCAATTCAACCTCCACCCAGGTCTATCAAAACAACTGAAAGTTGCCCAGACCCTAGAAGAGCTTATTAAGATGTAAGCTCCCAGAGACCTGATTCAAGGACTGTCTACGATGAAGTAGACAATCCCTTTTGTATCAACCTCACCCCACCCCCTGCCCACCCACCCCTCGTGTCCTGTTTAGCTATGAGGTGTCTTGTGATGCTCCCGTGTTGAAGACTTGGTCCCCAACTGGTACCACTAGGGAGAGGTAATTGAGTCTCCAAAAGGACACTGTGGGGACAGCTCAGTTTGGGAAAATGCTTGCTTTGCAAGCATGAGAACCTGATTTTCACATCGCTGTGGTGGTGTGCGCTTGTAATCCCATTACTGGGGCAGTAGAGACGGGTGGGTCACTGGGGTTCACTGCACAGCCAACCTAGATTACTAGGCAAGTCCCCAGCTGGTAAGAGTCTCTGTCTCAAAAAAACAAGGTGAGCGATGCCCAAGGAACGGCACCGGAGGCTGTCCTCTGGCTTTCGTAGGCACATGTACAAGCAAGATACACACACATAGAATATGTGGGGAAGCTTTCAAACCTCGTTCTATTAGTATTGGTTACAGGGGCTCACAATGGCTGCATGGTGTCTTTTCTGAAACTCGTCCTGGAATGGTACAGATTTTTGTCTCTGAACCTCACTGTAGCTCCATTCTATCTAGACGTCTAAACTTGTCTCTGAACATCTCATGGACCCCAGTTCTGGGAGAGAGATGTTTTACCATTTCCTACCTTTCGCCAGAAGTTTCTGCTCAGTGGTTGCTAAGAGTCCCATAGTTTCCATCGCCTGAGCTGATTAGATCAGTCACAGCCCATGCCGTGTGGAAAACATACAACCTGTCTCAAGATTTCTCTCTGTTCTCTCTCTCCTCTCCTCCCTGACCCCAGTTCATTCACAGAAACAGAACCGACAGACCTGCGTCCGCAAGAGCCTCATATGCGCCTTCGCCATGGCCTTCATCATAAGCGTCATGCTGATCGCAGCCAACCAGATCCTGCGGAGCGGCATGGAGTAGCAGCCTCGCACCAGCCACACCGCGTTGCCAGCTCACCGCGCATGTGCATGCCCCGCGGGCAGACTCTGTTCCTCCACACGGGAGATCTGGACCTATGGATGGATGCAGGCGTTGGTACAGTTTAGTAAAGAACTCAAGTTTGCAGTACAACCGGGGTCACGGATCAACTCCCTCTCCTTGGCAGGGACACTAAAGGGCTGTCTTCAATGCTTTCATGGTTTTGTTTCCTCCCAATGCAATAAATAGCCAGGAGTTCTCAATTATTGCTTCAACCGCCAGTAGCAACTCCGAAGGGGAAAAAAAAAATACTGCTTTCTTTTCGTCTTGGAATTCCAGTAGCCATCCAGGTATCGTGGTGGCACCAGAGAGCGGAGAAAGGAAAGACAGGTGTGAACAACACTCACCTCCATCCATGCCCCAATTCTTTTCAACCCAGGGATCCACAGAGACTCCCCGCTGAGGTTGACTTCTGGGTTGCTACAGAAAAGGGAACTTTCCATCTCACCCTGGCTTCCTTCCTCCACCCCGTGGAGACCCCTCCCCCCAAGGCATGAGGGGGAAAGCCATTAAGCAGGGCGCAGCTCCTTGCAGTCACTACTATTCTTATTGCCTTTTCTACAGGACTCCTGTCGGTAGAGCTGGGGCGCTCTCAGTTGGTTTCCATGGCACTCGGCTTTCTGTTTCTGAAGTCCATCCCGCACCAGCATCTTGGAATCTGCAGAGAGCCTGGCTCCCAGCTTTCTTGCCTGTGCCACCATTAGAGGAAAAAAAAAATCCATAACCTGGGTGTGTCTATAACCCAAACACACAGACAGACAAGAGACTTCTCCATGTGTGATGCCGTTCTTCCCTAATTGCTTACTTTGGACAGGAACTTGTCCTCGAGCTCACACCCATCCCTGCTTCCTGGGAGCAGAGGGTAAAGCAGCCGGGGTAGGGGTAGGATTGAGCCTGGTGGCGAGGAGGCCCACACCCCAGGCATCTGAAGTAACAGAGCCCCTCTGAGTCACCATACTAGATAACATCTGTAAGTTAAGATTGGTGTACATCTAACTCTCCCCTCATCTCGGACTTTCTTAGTGAGTCTTTCCCCAACTAAGAGAGAGAGACCTAGAACCCGGAGCAGAAAAGAAGGATCAATTTGCTGTATTTTGCTTAATAGCTCATGATATTCAGATTGTGCCAATGACTCATTAAAAAAGAGAGAGAGAGAGAGAGGTCAGTGGGCATGGCTGATGGGACAGAGACTTGGCTCCCGATCACAGAACTCAATGTCAGGGGTCTGTTTTCTTTGAATTTTCCTAGATTCACTATGAACTTGAGTGTAAGTGGTCAGATTGCTAGTCATCTATAGATTGTCATCTGTAGATGTGCTAAATCCCTTTGTATTTTTCTGAGCCCAAGTCTTTATTTCTGTAGTGAAATTGTCCTGCTCTGCTTCTTCTCTGCCAAAAGCTCCCTGATTCTCCTTCCTCACTCTAACCTCCAGCCACATTGAGGCGCCAGCAGCTTTGCTCTCGCTCTCTCTCTCTCTCTCTCTCTCTCTCTCTCTCTCTCTCTCTCTCTCTCCATGCAGCCAGCTGGGTAGGGGATTTTTTTGGTGCGATGCGTATCCCTCTAGCCTACTTTCCCTCTCTTCTCCCTCCTTACTGCCTTCTTAGCCTGGGATCACGCAAGGTCTCCTTCTAGGGTCTTCCTCTAGTTCACCCCCCCCCCCCAAGTGCTCCATGCAGTGGTGTGGAGGGCAGCTGTAGATATTTTCCCACTATAGGGTGTGACTATACACCAAGAGCACAAGTCAAACTAGGTTTGAGCCATAGCATAGGAAAGAGAGAGTAGGTCGGAGGTCCCAAGAGCCCACGGGGGCACAGAGTCACTTCATAAAACTGCCTGGAGTCTGGCACATCCAGGCAGCAGCCTGCCTTCCTTTCTTTCGGTGCCCTCTGCAAACCTACCCTTTCTGTTTCTTCCCTAGGCTGAGTCACCATGGTCCCCTTAGGACCAGACTCCTGAACTAGAACAGATAGAGACACAGAATATTAATACACTGCACAGCTTCCCAACCCCTTCATCTCTTCCTGGGGCAATTGCCTTCTCTCTACCAGATGTGTGTGAGAAGAGGCAAGCATAGCTGGCAGAGGCATGCTTCCCTATCGTTTGCTGATGTTTGAACCTCCAAACTGAACCCTCCTGGGAGCATACAGAAGAAACCAGGTGAATGCATCCAGAAGGGCAGGACTCTAAGGACCCGAAGGGGGCAGATGCCATGCCGCAGCTGAGATTAGCTACCAATGCGAAACATAAAGATTTCTTCAAATGTTGCTTTCCTGCAACATCTGCTCCATCCTGAAGGAGGCTGACCTCCAGAGATGAAGAGTTTAGATTCCTTCAGCAATGAGCAAGATGTGATTTAAAAAACGGAAAAAAAAAAAAAGCCTGCTCCCTACAAGGGTGTGAGCATCCCCTCTTTTAAAAAAACAAAAACAAAAACAAAAAAACCCATGCATCTTTCCCAATTGCCTAGAAGGAACGACAGGAAAGAAGCCATCAGATTCTCTCCGATGGCCCAGAAGTTAAGCCCCCCAGCAGCCTCCTCATCTGAAGCACCCAGCGGCTGAACACAGAAGTGCAGGAAACCGGGTCTAGTGGCGTCCCTTAGACTCAGGGGGCTGAGAGTGTGCTTAGGTGGCCTGCCCTCTAGCTGCTTGGCTTGTATTATCTGTCTTGGACATATTTAGGGTGTCGGGCTTCCTTTCCAGGCAGTCCTACTCCCTGTTCACGCAAATGCTACCCTGAGGTTCGTGGCATTTGCCACCCGACATCCTCACGACAGTAACTGGGAAGGAGCTGGTTGGCTGATGGTTCCAGAAAGTTCTGCCTCCCATGCTCAAGGAAAGCCATCCATGTGCACCTGAGGCACCCTCTTTGGAGAGGCAGGGGCCTCATGCTTTGCTGCCTTGCCTGTGACAGGACTTAGGAATCCGTGATAGAGGCTACCCAGCCATTGGGTGCCTCGGTGACTGGCTCATTCTTGCTACCAGCTCAACTCCACACCCCCCCAGACCTCCATGAATGAAAGACAGCATTTGACCTGCGACAGAAAGACAAGCTGATTCTGAACCCTGTAACCTTCAAACAGGCTGTCCCCTCACTGTCCCGGATGTAGACCGAATCCCCGGTTGGAACCCCACCCTGGAATTGTTAGACAATGGCTTCCAGAAAGTGTGCAAGTTCCATGTGTCTATGGGAGGTTGCCATGGAAACATTGCATCCACCCCGAGTTTGCCAAGGTACAAACATAGGGAACACTTTCTTAAAGAACCCTCTAGGTCCGACCTGCCTGTACTATGACTCCCAGAATCCATCTCTTGCCGAGATGGGGAATTAACCTCCAAGAGTATGCATGGCTTCCCTACCTTTTCCTATTGTATTTAAACTTGTCCTTCCCCCAACTCAGGAGCAAAGGAGTAAGCCCTGTGTGGGTAGCCTCCTCACCTCTATCTACCCTTTATTTCACCTCCCAGAACAAGATCCTCTACATATAGGAGGAATAAAACCACCCTCCATCATCTGGCAGGCAAAAAACACACGTTAAACTTGCAATCTTTAAAAATATTTGCTTGCTTGCCTGTTGAGACTCTCCTTCCTGAAAGTCAGTAATAGGAACTTAGGTGAACTGTGGTTCTCAGGAGTTCTTGGGCAAGCTCAGTGATGGCAGGAAGTTCTGGGTGACGTATATGCAGAGACCAGGACATCTACTAGGCATCTTCCATACCTGCACCTATCTCAAAGTTTACATGACAAGTGGTCTGGTATCTGAAAGAGTGGAATCAAACAAGGAAAGGCAGCCTATGTTGAGGAGAGCATCCCTCCTCGCCCCCAGCCACTAGTCTCAGTCAGTGGACTCTCAAAGTGATTGGAAAAATCTAAGAGCAGGGAGAGGAACAGCTGGCTTTTATTACAGTCTCCTCCTATGGGCTCAAGTCCAGACTCAGGTCATAAATCAAAGAGGGTTGTGTACATTGTTTTTGAATCTAAGACCGGTAGTGTCCCTGGGACCCTATTGAGGCATCATCAGAAGATGAACACGGTGACCGTTGGGGGTACCTCCTGGGTTGAGTTGGCTTGGCTATGCCTGGCTGTGCGTCGTATGTGGAACTATTTCCTTGCGTGCCCTTGATGAAAGTGCTAAGTTTTGTACCTCAAAGCATATTAGTCATGTTCCTACATTATATCACTAAAGGTCCGCCGCTATCCTATCTACCCTGTTACCTAAGATACACAGAGAGTCTGGAACCTTCTTGTGAAAAGGGTCCTTATTTTTATATAATGCTATGATGACGATACAGATGAGCTCCGATGAATCTTCTAGACTTTGGCACATACTGTTTCTATGACCTGGAGGACCACAGAACCCCATTTCCTGGGAAGCATCCATCTCAAACAACTTCAGATCAGTATTTTTTCCCACTGGCCTCTTCCAGGATGCCCTACAGGGCTGAGAGTCCAGAACTCACGGCCATTTTTCTTCCCTCCACATTAATTCCCTGGCTCCCCTTCTCCATGAGGAGAAAAATCCATTTGAAATAGAAGAGCTATGCAGCATTAGAGTTTTTCACTTGAATTATTTATAGTCAGGACAGAATAGAGGAGAAGCTAGGCCACCTCACCCAGTCCCCATCCCCACGATCATGTAAATGTCACAATTGCTTAGCTTCATTCCATCTGCACTTTGACTAACACTCAGGGGACTGTTCTCAGCTCTGTGGCCTTGCCACACACAGTTGGTTTGGAGGAAGGGGACAGGTATACCAGCTAACTAAGCCTTCTTCCTCGGATCCTATGCTCACTACAAATGCATTACCGTCGCGTTAACACCAATGGTTTATATTTAATATTGGTTTGAACTTAAAGTACCACAAAGAGTGGTTGATTTAGCCAGATGTGGGAGAGCATGCTTGTAATTCCTGGCACTTGACAAACTAAGGCAGGAGAATTGAAGTTCAACATCTGCCTGGATTGCAGAGCAAGTTCAAGGCCAGTCTGAGTTAAATAGTTAAGTTCTAGGCAAGCCTGGGCTACATACAGAGTTCCAGACTAGCATGAGCTAATATAATGAGACTCCTTCCCACTCAAAGGGGAAAGAAAAATCAGTTTTTTTTTCCAGTTGCACAAAACAACCCCCTGTACCTCAACACTACTTGCCCAGCTCCTATCTTAGCTAGTTTGTCAATGGAGGATCCCCAAGATCTGGTGTCAACCTTTTCCTTGGGTGGGATGTCTTGGCTTCCAAAACAGTTCTTTATATGCTTTTAGTATTTATGCAAGCAGGGGTCATGGGACATGCCTATAATCCCAGCAATTGGGGGGTGCAGGAACTTGAAATAGACGTTCAAGGTCAGTCTCTTCTACAAAACAAGTTGTACTGAGCTATGTGTGAAAACACACACACACACACACACACACACACACACACACGGAGGAGTAGGGATAGGGAGGGGAGTATCTAACTGAAAGGAGGCAGGGACTAGAATTTCCCAGAAAGTACAGGCTAACTAGGAAAGAATGTTTTAGAGAATGCAGATTTCACCAGAGATGTTTGCTCCATCCTTGGACCTGACAGAAATTTTTTAAAGCGCTGATAGATGCTAGACCCTGTATATCTGGCCTACTTTGGGAATATCCAAGGGATGTAATGCCAGGCACTGCCCATCAACATGTTCCTAGCCACAAGCTCTGTGGACTCCAATAGGAGGCAAGTACCTCCTCTGGGTGGATGCTGATCCCTGCCAATCCCAGCATGCTTTGCCCAAGACTCTGAGACCTGGGAACAGGAGCCAGAAAGCAGAGTAGAAAAACCAAAGGGGATACAGCACTGTCATTTGGGAAGGGAACCAGAAATAGGATCCTTGCTGCTAGAAGCCCGGGAAAGATACATCTCCAACAGAGAAGGTTGAGAAGTCCTGTGTGTGGCATCCTTCAGGGGTGGTAGCTGGTTTTGTGACATGAGTCCTCAAGAGGCAGCTGGGCGTTCACTGTTTGTAAAGGAAACTATACCTCCTGGTTCCCAGCCAACGTGCCACACAGGTGAGAGACATTTTTGTTTATTCCCCAAAAGCTTGCTGAGTCAAGATGAGCTTTTGTGTCTCCTTGTCTTGGCCAGCCTGGAAATGAAGGAGATTTGGTCCCCTGGATAAGGGTCACATGGAATCTGAACTCAGGAGTCTGTAGGTTGAGACAAAAACCAGCTTCCCCAAAACGATGCTTCTCAAATTTGTCTAAGGATGCTTTCTCCCCACCACTACCATCTTACTCTCCCCCTGGCCACTGGGCTTGGAAGTAGTTCAAGTGGACGTGGCCCTGGCTTGGAATCGTGCATAATTCTACAGAAGGCAGAAAGTTCCCATCTCTAATGAGTGTCAGGGAGCGGATGACGAGTCTAGGGTGCAGGACCAGCAATCTGAAGCTGTTCTTTAGATGGCCAGAGACCGGAGCTAGACATAGATGCCCGCCATAGCTAGGCTACAGCCATCAAAAGAGACAGAGGCAGGGAGGGAGCAGCTCCCAGGTACCCAAGTCTTTACCCTTCTTCACGCCACCTCCTAGCCTGTTTGAGTCAGGTGTGGTGGCATACACCTGCAGTCCCCAAACATGGGAGCCAGAGGCAGGAAGACTGTGGCAAGTTAGAGAGTAGCCTGGGTTACATGGTGAGTTCCAGGTCAACCTGGTTTGCAGCGTAAGATCTTGTCTCCTAAACAAAACAATGGGAATGATAAAAGTCATAGTTCTTGCTTAGTTCCTAATCCCTGAAGCAGCCTGAGATCTAGTCGATGTTTACAGGCACCCCCATTGTTCTTCTCTAAAGAGACCTGTTGAGAAAGTACTCTCTCAGTTCCTGGTCCAAGTCCATATAGATCAAGGACTCTGAGGAAACCTTAAGGAGCTCTCCAGTGACTTCAGGGATGGGGCTGACTTCTCTTCCCCAAATTCTGAGTTCAGGAAGAAGCTTCTTGTCCAAGGACTAGAGCCAAGGTAATGCTCATGGAATCCGTTCAGACTCTGAAAGTCTAGTTCAGTCAGGTGTGGGAGAGCTGTGGTCCACGGGTGGGGGACAGGTCATTATTCTCAAAGCACATATGTAAATGGCTGGGATTCGAACCCCTACATGCTGGGTGTCTCAGAAGCACAGGTAGAGACTGTTCTAAACAGGAGCTTCTTGCCTCTCCTTCCAGAATGTTCCAGTCAGATGTCAATCATGCATCTCAATTTCCCACGTTACCTCATTTACATTCTTTGGTTTTGTTTTGTTTTCTTCATTTAGTGTTAGTTGGTGATTTTCTGCTATTAAGTGGTGAGACAACAGGTTAGTGAAATTAAAAAATATCTTTATATCAAATGTAAATATTAATATAAATGAACTTGGCATGCAACTTAAGTGATTCAATGAAGTGATATTATTAACATGTTATCTTACTGTATAAAGGGAAAATGACTGCCATATATGTACCAGATGTTTTCTGTAACTAAACTTGTCTGTAAATATATAATCTTATTAAAAAAAAAAAGTCTAATTTACCATTATTTATGCAATAGAAAAAAATAAAAAAAGTTCTTTTTTTTCCCCCTTTTGATGAGAGAGTCGGTTCATTATTTATGATCTGATTTGCAAAGGGTCTTGAGATTCGTTCCTGGGGCCCCGTTGGTGACAGTTGAACGTCCCTAAGAAGCAGTGGGCGGAGGAAGTGGCAGAGCCTGTTGAGCCTCTGAAGCGAGATGATTGGCGTACAGAAAATTAATGATGGTGGAGCATATGGTAGGAAATAGGACTGGTCTCCTGGCTTCGGAGCAGACACGGTAATTAAGACAACTTTGGGCCTGGGGAGGTGACTCAGTCAGTAAAGTGCTTGTGTAAACATGAGGACCTGAGCCATCTCCAGAACCTAAATAGAAAAGAGGACGTAGCAGCACATGCCTGTAATTTCCACTCTGGGGAGAATGGAGATAGGAATACCTGGGGCTCCATGGCCAAGTAATCTGGATGAATTGGGCGGAGAGCCAGCGAGATGGCTCTGTGGTTTGAGGCACTTGCTGCCAAGCCTGAGGATCAGAGTTCAATCCCCAGGACAGGCATGTGGAAGGAGAGAAGCAACTCCTGTAAGTGTGTCCTCTAACCACACACAAACCGGGGTGAGAGTGTGACACACACAGACACGCACAACACTAAATTATATCAGACTACCCACAGTCAAGCTTTCCAGGAAGGGAAGGCAGGCACAGTGACTACCAGGCAGAGGATCAGCGTATGTGAAGGTCCAGAGGCACAGGCACAGCGTGAAGAGACGACATGAATCCATGAGAGACGTGATGGATGGCAGCCTGAGCTTACACCGTGAGAGTAGAGTGCATACAGGAAGCTGGATTCCAAACAGGATGAGGAAGGACAGCCAATCAGGCCTTGTGTTCATGACTTTGGCATCAATGTCACCGAAATACCTGACAACCTCAGGGAGAGAGTTTTCTTTTAGCTCTTGGTTTTAGAGAGCTCCATCTTCGCCCGGCCCTGTGTATTTGAGTGCAACATCTGCATGACAGCAGCGGTATGTGGAAGAGCCTCTTCACACCATAGGAGACCTGGAAGCGGAAGGCGGGGTAGGAAGTAGCGACGAGAGGGAACTGCAACCAGCCAGAACAGTTTGAGTCTATTTCATTGATCTGTTTACAGAAATGGGGTCTTAGGTAGGCCAGGCTGCCTTTGAACTTGCTGTGTAGCCAAGAATGTCCTCTAGCTCCTACCTCCCCAGTCCTGGATTTAGTAGGCATGTGTCACGGTCCCCAGCTTTATGCTTATTTTTTGGGGGACATCTCATGTGGCCCCCGGGCAGCTCTACAGATTCTCTATGGAGTCTCAGAAGATCATCTATAACTTGTGATCCTTCTGTTACCACCCCTCTGCTCGCTGCCCATAGTGCCATGATTATAAGCACATGCCACCCAGTCTGGTTTATAGAATGCTGGGATGAGATTCGGGGCTTCTCAAATGCCGGGTGAACACTCTACCAGCTGAACCTCATCCTCAGCCTCAGAGTTCGTGTTTGGACTTTGCTGTCTGTCTGTCCACTGTCCACATCTTCCTCCCTTCTCCCCCTTGCAGGCTGGTATGGATTCTTACGGTAGGTTGTTGCCCTCCTCTTCACGAACAGAACACGTGATGGCATTCGGGAGCCTGGGAGCCTGCATGGTGGGAATCAAAGCAAAGCTATCCCCCGAGAGTGAACAGGCTAGTTCCAGGAGACCTTGCACCTGACCTTTGTGCGCCTCCTTGGGGAGGAACCAAAGGCTATTTGTTAATGTCTGTGTTCACAGACTTACCATGGTGAAGACAAAGCCTCGGTACATCCAGGCAGACAGGCAGAAACTGGGTAAGCCTCCCAGTAGGACAGGAGATATTCTAAAGAGACACGTGCCCTCTCTTCGGTTATCAGACCGTTGGAACAATGGACCCAGGGAATTGGCATTTCTTCGGGGAATGTCAAGGTAGAGAAGGAAAAAGCTGATGCCCGGTGCCAGCCAGAGGGGGAGCTTGTCTCCTGGGAAGACATTTCACACACTTCTGAAAATTGTCAGACCACCGTGCAGAAGAGACCGGAGCGGAGACAAAGATGGGCCAGTGATGGGAAGGGCCACACCTGACCAAGAACTGCTTAGCTTTGCATAACTCGTGTGTGTGTGTGTGTGTGTGTGTGTGTGTGTGTGTGTGTGTGTGCCTCTGTGTATGCAGGCATGCCCGTGCATGCATTTGGAGGTTCAGAGGACAATGTCCAGTGTTCTGCTCTACCATTCCCTACCTGATTCCCTTCAGACAGTCTCTCACTGAACTTGGAGCTCAGTTGACAGCCAGCAAGCTCCAGAGAATCCCTCCCCACCCCCACAGCCCTATAAGCAATAGGTACTGGTGTGAGCATGCCCAGCCTTTGTTTCTTGGGTACTGGGGATTCGAACTCAGGGTCACATGCTTGTGGAGCAAACTCTCTTACCCAATTAAACTATCTACCCAGCCCTCTTGCCTTTAAATGTAAATCTCAGGTCAGGGCCCTGAACTTGGTGGGGTCACTGGGCCTCTTTGTACCTCTTCTCAGTGTGGGACTGGATAAATGTCTTCTCTGCATTTTCTTTTTAACTAGTCTGCTTAAATGGCCTGTTGACAGCACTCGGGAGGCAGAGCCAGGCGGATCTCTGTGAGTTCGAGGCCAGCCTGGGCTACCAAGTGAGTTCCAGGAAAGGCGCAAAGCTACACAGAGAAACCCTGTCTTGAAAAACCAAAAAAAAAAAAAAAAAAAAAAAAAAATGGCCTGTTGAAGTTAGTGGCCAGACCTGGCTTGGTAGGGCTGCCTGACCTGGCCTCTGACCTTAACAACCCTGGTAACGGCCATAGAATCACCCCTTCACCCCAAGGGCTGGGTGTATGCTTTGGAAAAGGAGGCTGGAGGACCAGGAGCTTGAACCAACTGAGGCTACATAGTGAACTCCAAGCTCTCCTGACCTACATAGCAAGGACCTGTCTCAGTCAGCTCTAAAGACAGGACCCAGACAAGACAGCTCCAGCGTGAATGGCCTGGTGCAGTATTGTCTTAGGTCCTCTGAAGGCCTCATATAGCCACACAGTGGCTCACATCAGCCTCCCGCTGCCCCAGCACACACATAACTAACTGTGACCTTCGTTCAGCTCTTGAACTGACTCATCGCCAAACCTGGGTTTTCCTGCATGAGTTCCAGGAACTGCGAGCCCTGAAATGAAGTTGATCTCATGTGGTTTTGCTCCCCCCCCCCCCCCGGGGGGGTTCTGTGATTTCTGGAAGGTCTCACAGCCCTGACTTCTGCAACTTCTGTGAGTTTGGTTGTTTTGACTGCCACAAACCCCAAGGTCAGCTGTCCCTCTTAAACCCAAGCCTGTTAGCAAGAAAGTCTCAACTCAGCCCACACCAAGCATAGCTGAGCCTGTCCAAGATGTGAAAAGCCAAATAATCTATCATTGGAGGGAACTTTCTTCTCTTGACAGAATAAAGGATGGTTGAATTTCCTGCCCAGGGGTTTAAACATGCACACACACACACACACACACACACACACACACACACACACACTCCCCCAAAACTCCCACAAATCCCCAGAAAGTGGAATAACAAAACCCAGAAAAATGTCTCCAGCTGAATCAGTTTGGTCACAGTAGGCCCTTGCTTCCTCTCTGGAGTGTGGTACCCTCAGCATTGTTCTGACAGAACCTGGGGAATTTTCTAAGAGTCCTCATGAGAAATGCATGTTCACACACACCCAGTGACTCAAGAATCCATTTACAGCCACTTCTCAGTATGGACACACTCAGGTTCAGTGCTATGTGGAGGATGGGTTCCAGCTCACCAGGCGGAGTCCCGGCAGAAGCCCTGGATTACCATCCCCAGCACCACATAAAACAGGCATGGAGGTGCATGCCTGTAACTCTAGCACATAGAAGGTGAAGGCAGGAGGCTCAGAAGTTCAAGGCCAGTGTCTACTATATATCAAGTTTGAGGCCAGTCTGGGATACAGGAGACCCAATCTCAGAAATTAAATAAAGGCTAGCAAGATGGCTTCATGGGCAGGGGGGCTTCTGTCATGCAAGTCTGGCGAGCTGATTTGGAACTCTGGGAGCCACACGATGGAAAGAGAGAATCAACTCCTGCAAGTTGATTGACTTCTTGGATCTCCACACGTGCCCCACAGTGTTAAATCTGAAAAATCTAAATCTCCGGTGGAAAGACCGAATTCACGATTGTCCAATTGAAACAAGCTTTATTTTGGGGTGTACGGGGGACTGGCCCACTCCCTGCCCTTCAAATGCCCTGCTCCTGGCATTCAGCCCAGCCTGTTTTTCCACACAAGAGATACATTGGACAGGGGACTCACCAGTTTGCAGAGTTCCCAGCAGGGGAATTAGATACCAGAGGTTCTGAACTCAGCAGTACATTAGAGTCACCCAGGGAGCTTTTAAAAAATATTCGCGCGGCATTGCTCCACTGCAGACCAATTACCTCTGCCCTGCAGGGAGGGGGGCAGGGGAGTGTCTAGGCCATAATATTTTAAAACTCCCCAGGCACTGCTAATGTCTGAGCTGGGGGAGGGGTTAGAACCCTGACTATTTGAAATGTCAGGGCCAAAAAAAAAAGACTGTAGAATGTAGAAATCAATGGAGCTGTTTTTTTTTTTTTTTAGATGGGGAAACTGAGGCCAGGGAGGCTGTGGAGGGACCCACTGCAGAGGGGCTTTTCTTGCATCAGGACTGAATCTGGATGCCCCGGGAGGAGACAATAAAAGGTTATGGGTGGGCAGCGCATGGGAAGGCCAACAGCTGGCATTGAAAAGAAGCTTCCAGATGCACCGCTGCGTCTTCATGATGCTTTCGTGAGGGGTTAAACTTTTATTGTTGTTTGAAACAGGAGCTTCCTACGTAGCGCAGGTTGGCTTTGTGTGTGTGTGTGTGTGTGTGTGTGTGTGTGTGTGTGTGTGTGTGCGCGCGCGCGCGCGGGGATGATATAAGTTGCTCAGACTGGCCTTTATCTTGGAATCCTCGACCTCAATACTTCCAAGTGGCTGAGGT